TTATAATACATATGTTCTGTTTTGTTTGCATTATTTCTATAGTTGTTCAGTCTTATATGTTAGAATGTATTAATGCAGTCTGTTTGCCATTAATCTCTATTCCTGTCAAAATCTATCCTTGAAAAATAGGCTGGCTGGATTTAAAATTCTTGAGTCACAGTTTCTTTCCTTAGAACTTAGAAGACTTCTCTCCACTGTCTTTTGGCATAGAGCTGCGGCCTTGGAAAATTCTGAATGAAGCCTTATATGTGACTTGATTTTACAGATTTTGTTCTTGGTGATGTGTATTGTATGGTGTCAATGATTCCGTATCAGTTGGTTTACCAACGTGCAGCTGGTCAGTGTTTGTTTCAGTGTTTGTTTATGCCGGCTTACTTGGAATGTGAAACTTCGAACGTGGCCGTGATTTTTAAGTGGGCCACCTTCTTAACTGATAGGATGTCTTTCAAAGATTGCGAGAAAAATAATGGTGTTTGCCTTATATAACTAGTCCATTTAGAGTATATTGGAGAGGAGTATATTAAAAACTGAATGAACTTAGAAATGCTAGGATTTAGTTCTTTTGTGCTCTAGAGTTATAATAAATAAGGGGACAGATCCTTGAGTTATAGTATTCCCATCACTGATATCTAGAAGAAATAGTGAAGAAGATATAGCCATTAAAGTATTTCTTAAAGAATCACTTTTTGCCAAAGATCAGTGGTCAGCTTTCTGTACTTACCTTTCTTTACCTCTAAGCAACATTTGCTATAGTTGAGTACTCTGCCCTTTTTGAAACATTTTCTTCCCCTCAGTCCCATAAGAGCATTTCCTTACATTTTCTCTCACGTTGTCACCCCTTCTTAGTCTCTTTTGCCAAATCTTCCTTCCCATCAAACATTTGAGTGTTGGAGTGCTCTTTTCACATGACATCATCCAGATCCATAACTTTAAACATATCTGATAACTCCCAATTTTATATCTTAGTCATGACCTTCCATCCTACATCTAGTCCATCTCTCAAATATATTCCCAGTCCAAACATTTCTCCTCCATTTTATTTCAAGTTAACCACTCATCTGGTCATCTCTCATCTGTACCATTACCACCAACTCCTGATGAGTCTTTCTGCCATTCTTCTTGTCCTCTCCCTTAAAGTGTGTTCTTTTTAAAGTAGCCAAAGGGGCCTCTGACCGTAAATCCTATGTTATTACCCTGTCTCCTCTTTATTTACTTAAAACTCTCCAATTAATGGCTTCCCATTACAGTTAGAATAAAATGCATGCTCACATCACTTATGAATGAATGTGAACTGCTTTACTTCTCCAACTTACCCTCTGTTTACCATCCTCTCCTGTGGTTCACCCACACTGACCTTTTATTTCTATTTCTGAAGCACTTCAAGCTTGTTCCCATTTTAAGGATTTTATACTTCTTTCTTAGATCCTTTGCACTCAGATCTTCATATTACTGCCTCCTTCTGGCCATTCTGACCTCGGGACTAGTGTCATCTCCTTAGAGAGGCCTCCCTTACTATCTTAGCTAAAGTATGGCACAGCAGCGTGATCATTCCCCCACCCTGCACACACATGCTGTATCACATTAGCTTATTTTATACAGAACAGTACCAAAAAAGTCTTTTGTTTTTAGTTTATTTTTTCTGAGTGTGGAGCGGGGGGGGCGGGGGAGGGGGGTTGGGGGCAGAGAAAGATAATCCCAAGCAGACTCTGCACCATCAGAGCAGAGCCCCATGTGGGGCTCAAACTCACAAACTGTGAGATTATGACCTGAACTGAGATCCAGAGTCGGACGCCTAACCTGACTGTGCCACCAAGCACCACCCCCCCTGCAAAGTTTTAAAAAATCAGATAAAATCCCATCACCAAAGAAATTTCTTGATTTGACAAAAAAAAAATTTTTTTTCATCTCACATTTTTTTACTAAATTAAACAGGAAACTTTGTCACTAATGTAAGTAGAAAATTAGTATCACCTGTAGATATTGAGATAATAAAAACAAATACAATGAAAACTGCATACTTACTAATTTTTTTAGCCTTTAGAAGCTCTGAGACTGAGGCCTGCTCTGTTGATAAAGAGATACATTTATAAATGTTAGATATTAAATACCAACAGCATCAAACTGATACTTTCTCTTTGATATAGTCAGAAGGACTGAAGAGAATTGAAATGGAAATAACTTTCTCATTTAACAGTTCGGTATGATATAGCATAGTCTTCAAGATGACTAAAGTCATCTTCTTTACCAGTACAGTGTTTCCCCCAAAGGGGAATTATAATAATTGTAATAATCATAATAATCAGTGTTTTAAAGTGAAGCTGAAATAAATAACTTTGGTATGGACTAGGGTGTAAAATGTTGTGAACTAGTAAGAATTAGTGGGGGAAAATCTCACAAAACTTATTTTAACCTGTCCCAAGGTGAACTGAATGATATGAAACGGTATTACTCAAAACTAATGTTTGAGTATGTCACTATGCAATTTCTTCTAAATTACTGATTCCTTTTTTTTTAATTACTAATTCCTACATCATTTAAAAAATAGTATATGCCCCAGTTGCTGAAAGAGCTTATGTGTGGGGCTGTCTGCCAAGCACTTTACATATATTATCTGATTTAATTATACCCATTCTCTGAGAGGTAGAAACATCTTCATTTTAAAGATGTGAAAATGAGATCCTTAGAGGTTCAGTGATTTGTTTAAGAATTTATGACCAATGAGCTTGTCTGACTTCAGAACCCTTACTTTTAACCACTAAATTTCGTACTAAATCAGATAAGATGCGAAGGAATGCTGTAAGTGTACAGTGAAGTCTATTCAACTTGGAGCATATGGCCACCAAATTTTCTGTAAGCTTATATTTTATAGCTGTTTTAGGCTTCATGTCATCACAAGGCTATTCAGTTTTAAAGGATAACTTTAATATTTCCTTCACTTAATTTTTATCTTAATTTTGGCAATATTTAGTATCAAAAATAAATTTAAGTTCTTGTAGTATATTACCACTCACATACAAGTGAATATAATAATACTAACCTTCAGGCATAGGAACAGCAGTGCAATCCACAGTGTATAGGGCCTGTGATTTGAGTTTCTTTCCAGTAGTAGAGGAATGGATTAGTGATGATCCAGTCATAACTCCTTTTCTAGCCTAATCCTTGGCAGACTCCAGGCAAAGTGCAACCTAGAGGATAATTTGAAGGTTATAAGATAGACAAGTGCTATTTCCCTTTATTCTGGTTTTCTATTTGGATTAATTCAGATGATCAGAGAGCTTTATTTTCTTTGCTTTTAGAAGAATTGCGACTCCTAAGTTTCTCTCTGTTATCTGCTCAGTTAAAATTGAGGAATGTAATCAAGAAATTGCCATTTGAAACCTGCTGATGCATTTACTATTGTTGAGGACATCGCTATAGTTACTTACTGGCTCCTACATAAAGATGACTATATAGGATATTTTTCACTTGGAGTGTCATAAAATGTAGTTCTTTTTATAACTGAACTGACCATGCTGCCTTTGTTGCTTTGCCAAGAAGCTTTTGTTTTTATTTTCCTGTTTTATTGTGCCATTTGTGTAAGATGCCTCAAATCCTGATAAGTAATACCGTGCTTCCAGGGAGACGTTTTTCATGCTTTTCAAATATTCATACAATTTACCTAAATCACTGTCTGTCTAGTGTGTTTACGAGTAAGATATAATATGCATCCTCCTTTCTTGCTAATTTTGTTCATATAATTTACATGGCACTATTTAATATATCATCAGTTTTATGCCAAGAATTTTTTATGCCAAGTATTTTAAATACTTAGATTTTAATTGTAACAATATACTTACATTTTTTTATTTATATTACTGAGTAGCTCCACATTAAGATACAAATGGCTCAATTATTTTTAATTCTAGAAAATTATATTTAAAAATTCTTTGTAACCTGTAATGAGAATATCTTGGTCTTTGGTATGGAAGAATGAGCTATGGTCACTGTTTTTCTTTCATTAAACTCAGTCAAACTGTCTCTCATGATCCCTGTGATATCTTTATCTAAAATAATCAATGTTTTATGTTTGAAAACATCTCAATTTGGGTATATAATCTAGTTGGTAATTTAAATTAAATTAATTTGTTTATAAATGTGTTTTTTGTTTTGTGGGTATATCACTGCTTTCTGTTTATAATATTTCTCAGTATTTGTTCATTTTTGTGATACTGTTCTTTATCTGGTAATTTGAGTAAATCCAGTTGAATTATGTTGCCACATTATGTCTTCAAAAGGGCATAAAGTCAGTACACATGCTTCAGTAATATCTGGTTGTTTTACCCTTATGTTTCCAGTTGGCAATTTGAAATTATGGCTTCAACTGCACTTTAAATATGTGATAATAGCATGTGTTTCTAATAAGGGCCAGCACCATTTTGTTCAGATAGTGTGAATGGTTGTCACTCATATATGACAAATGCACCTTCATCTGCTTCTTTGATAGCCCCCTAAAAACCATACCCTCAAATCAGGCCGATGAAATTAGCTGCTGTGTAAATTGTGTGTCTGAGTGGTTCATTATCTAATCACCGTCAGAACCACAGTGATAAAGTAGATTGAAGCAGGGAAGAGGTCTGCCAGATGATTTCACCCACCCCCCCCCACCCCAAATCCGGTTTCCCTTGGAAACCCTAATAGTGCAGTTTAGAACTTCAGGCTCTCATGCCTGGAATTCAGTGTCTTTTAATGTACCAAACCTGAAAATAGCAGTAGTTCTGGAGCATAATTTTCTTTCTGTAAAGATTAATTTTATTTATTTCAATCAGTTTTTGAAATGTTGAGGCTCTTGAATTACTGTTTTTGTTGCTAGTGCCCTAAATATTACTAAATAGTACAAAAAACCCACTATGTCCTACTTGAAAGAATTCAGAATAATTTGAATAAATTGTTAACTTTCCAGGAATCTTTGATAATGGCTTTCTGTATTGTTTATTGGATTGCTTCTCTTTAATTCATTTTAGGTGCTTTTGAAGATGATGATATCACGCATGTTGAAGGAAGTGTAGATCCTATTCGAGATATAGAAATAATACACGAAGAGCTTCAGCTTAAAGATGAGGAAATGATTGGGCCCATTATAGATAAACTAGAAAAAGTGGCTGTGAGAGGAGGAGATAAAAAATTAAAACCTGAATATGTAAGTAAAAATTTACAGCTTATTTGATACTTGAGTTCATTTTTTAAATTATTTTTTTTTTACAATAATGCATCTAATAAAATATCTAATATTGTTATGGAACTTTAGAATCCAAGGATAATTTCCATTAAAAAATCATGGAGAAACTTCATTTTCTTTTGGCAACAAAGCGTCATGATGACAGTCTGTTTAAGGTGTTCTTAGCAAGGCATGTTTAGCAGGAATATTGAATATTTACATGGTTACAATGTGTATCCTCAAGTTGTAGTGTTAGAAAAGTGTGGTTTTATGATGAAAAACTTATGGATTTAGAGAAATGAATGAATATGAGTTTTGTGGATTTGAAGAAGTGATTTATATAAGGAATTGGTCTTCCATAGCGGTTGACTGAATGAATGTAGTATTAGATAATTTTAATCTTTTATGGAATGAAAACACATGTCATTGTCTTTAATATTCAAATGTATTTTTTATCACGTTGTAGTGAGAAATTATTAGTAATATAATTAGTGTTTCAAAATCAGTTTGGAAGCTTTTAGTTTATGGTCAAATTGTCTTTTACATTAAAAAAGTGATGGCCTTAATCATATATTTTCTTGGGGCACCTGGCTGGCTCGGTCAGTGGAGAGGATGACTGTTGATCTCAGGGTTGTAGGTTCAAGCCCCACACTGGGTATGGAAATTACTTTAAAATAAATAAAATCTTTTTAAAAATTACATATTTTCTCACTAGTATCTTCCCTAAACCGTACTTGCTTTTTATGCTTTTTGCCATAGGAAGGATTTTCTGTCTTTTTAATTTTTCATGTATTTTTAATACATGTGTTTATTTTTAATTTTCTCATGTCTGGAAACTGATTATCCTTTCCCTTTTTTAATTTATTTGCAGTAAGTTTGGAAAACTCAGTTGATTAGAGAGTTCTATACTCTTAAGGAGGAAATCAATTACAGAATCAGCCTCGACGCTTGAGCAGACTATTAGTAAATTATGGTCAATAGTGCTTGGACTTGGAACAAGGAGACCTGTGTTGGACCACTGATTTCCTTGGTAGTCTGGAACAAGCCCAATTCATTTTACTTCTCTTAACATCATGGCTATTTCAGTCATTTCTTAGTCAAATAGAGCAGAGAAAGGAGGGAGATTTGTCTGAGGGAATTGTATAAGATTTAGGACAGAGAAGGGGATTGAAAGTACAGGTATGAAAAATACTCCTTTTTAAAAAGGGAAGAACATTGTGAGAAAGATGTTGGTCAAAATTGAAAACAATTCATTTGCCCCAAACAGCATGGTTACTGATAAAAATAAATCCTTAAGCAGTCATTCCTAAGTTTATTGAAAGTTACTGACATCCCTCTGTCTTTCAGAAACATCAACTGTCTTATAAATAAATTTATCAATGTTGCTTTTTAGATGGGAGAAAGGGGCATCAGGTTCTTCTTAAGTCCTTGAGCTACCATTTCCTGGCCTTTCCTCTCAAAAGAAAACTAGAATGTTGAGTGCTATTTTTAATTCCCTGTAACAGTATTTTATTCTTATTTCTAAGGATATTCCTAAAATTTCTGTATCAGATTTGAAAGCATCACTTGGACTTGTGTTTACAGAAGAATCTGAACACCTTCTCCCCATTTATTTTCCCTTTCCCTATTCAGCTCTTCCGGATAGATGGAATGCGTTATGTAATTTTCTTGTTTCCCAAAACTGTGATCATTCCATCGGTTTCTTTCCTCATATTAGACTCAGCTGCTTCAGAATGAATTACAGTTCAGTATTTCTTAACCTTTTTTTTCATTATCACTGTCCCAAAGGAAAAAAGTTAATTAAAATTTAATATAAATTAATTAATTTAATTTCTTACTAATGAGAAATTAGATACTAATGAATAAGGATTTTTTGGATAGGGTTGAACTTTGGAGGGCCACAAGCCATTTAAATAACTAAGGTTTTTTTCCTCCATAAGAATTAATTTTTGCCCCTCTAGGAGTAATATCACCCTCACTGAGAATGTATGCCATAGATTTTTGTTGCAAACCCCAGTACTGGTAAATACGGTAAAACACATGGCTTATAGACATTTTTTTTAGTTGTTAGCAGAAACAGGATTTGGGTTGGATCTGTAACTTAATTTGGCGAGAATTAAGATCTCTTACAGCATTGAATCATTTAGTGCAGGGAAATCTTCTTTTTCTTTTTATTGAGCCAGGCATTTTTGGACACTTTTTATATATGTCATCTTATTTAAACCCCGCAACATGTGAGACATAAATTATCTCCATGTTAAAACTGAGGAAGCCTAAATTTCAAGAGATTTTATGAACTGCTCAAGATTTCATGCTTAGTAAATTGTAGAACAAGTTTTTCAGCAAGATCAGTCTGACTGCAGGGCCAATTTGTCTTTTTTTTTTTTTTTTAAAGTAAGCTCTAGGCCCAACATGGGGCTTGAACTTATATCAAGTCATATGCTCTACTGACTGAGTCAGCCAAGCACCCGTGTCTTTTTTTTTTTTTAACATTTTTTAAAATTGTGAAATGTATTCCAAAAAGATGCATATGTATTTAAAAAATAGTTGTAAAATAAAGGCTAGTAAAACCTACTTTCATGTCAAGAAATAGATCATTATTATCATCCAAAAATATCTGCATCACTTACCAGTCTTAACCCTCTTCATCTTCCCACAGCTAACCACAATTCTGAAATTTATAATAATATCCTTGCTTTTTTATACCAGTGTATGTGCCACCTAAAACAATATGAATTAGTTTTTCCTGATTTAAAACTTGATGTAGTGTCATTTTATATGTATTTATATGAGCATTTTTCACTCAACATTATTTTGTGCACCCATTCATGTAGCATTTATCTTCATTTGTTTTCCTTACTGTAAAATATTTTACTGAAAAAATGTATCATAATTTAAAAATCCATTTTACTGTCACTGGGCATTTGAACCCCCCCCCCCACCAAGTTTTTGATAATTATGAACAATGCAGCTCTTTTACATCCCGGTGCACATAAGGGCAGTGTAAGGCATTCATCTAGAAGTAGGAGTGTATATGTATCTTCAGCTTTACTAGATAACACTGCTTCCTAGTGTATGAGAGTTTATCCTCTTGCCAACACTTGGTATTGTCAGATTTTGTTTCATTTTGCAAACTGTGGTATGGTGGCATTTGGTTAGGGTTCTGATTTGTAGTTCTCTATTTAAGATTGGAGACCTTTCTTTTTTTTAAAATATTTGTTGACTCTTAGATTTCCTCTTTGTTCCTCTTAGATTTCCACTTAAGTGCTAGTTCTAATTTTGCCCATTTTCTGTTGGATCACTGTCTTGTTCTCATTACTTTGTTAAAGTTACTTATATATTCTGGATACTGATCATTTGTTTTAAATGGATTGCAAATATCTTCTCCGACTCTGAGATAATGGTATCTTTTGAGGAACAGGACTCAGTGTTAAGTACAGTGCCTTTTGTGTCTTTTTTAAATCTTTCCTACTCTAAGGTTATCAGGATGATCTTGTATCTTCTAAAAGCCTTATTATTTTACCATCTGCAGTTAGGTCTTTAGCCTACCTGGAATTTTGTGTGTGTGTGAATAGTAGAAGGCAGGCATCAATTTGACTTTTTTCCCCCCATATGGAAAACCTGTTACTCCAGCACCATTTTTTTTTTTTTTAAAGACTGTTTCCCTACTCCAATGAAGTGCCTCCTCTGTCATAAATCAAAGAGCTGTGGCATCTTAACCCTTTCCTGAGGATTGGCAGATGACCCCCAGGTAAAAGTGGCCAAAAGTGACAGTGGGATCCCAACCCTCTTGAGTGGTGAAGGTGAGAAGGCTAAGATAAAATGAGGGGTTGATACACAGAATCTGGTCTTCTGTGTGTTCCCCAAATCATTTCTGTATTTTCCTTGTCCCCTGCTGTCCCAGTCTTCAGTCTAGATCAAGGACAATTAAAGTGTGGTCCTCAGACTAGCAATATCACCATCACCTGGGAGCTTGTTAGAAATGGAAACTAAAGCTACAGATTTTCTAAATCCAAATCTCTGGGAATATGTTTTAACAAGCTCTCCTAGTGGTTGTAGAAATTGTCTGTTAGGGGCATGTGGGTGACACAGTCAGTTAAGCATCCGGCTTCAGCTCGGGTCATGATCTTGCTGTTCGTGAGTTCAAGCCCCACGTCAGACTCTGCACTGGTGGTGCGGAGACTGCTTGGGATTCTCTCTCTCCCTCTCTCTCTCTGCCCCTTCCCCACTTGCTCTCTCCTTCAAAATAAATAAATAAACTTAAAAGAAAGCATCTTGGGGTGCCTGGGTGTCTCAGTCGGTTAAGCATCCGACTCTTGGTTTTGGCTCAGGTCATGATCTCATGGTTTCGTGACTTCAAGCCCCACATAAGGCTCTGCGCTAGAAGTGCAGAGCCTGCTTAGCATTCTCTCTCTCCCTGTATCTCTGCCCCTCCCCTACTCATGCTGTCTTTCTCAAAAATAAATAAATAAACTTAAAAAAAAATTCTCTCTCCCTCTTCCTTTCTCATGCTCTCTAAAAAGAAAGAAAGAAAGAAAGAAAGAAAGAAAGAAAGAAAGAAAAATGTCTTGTTTTTCTATTGAAAGGATGAGGAAGCTGGGGTGATTATCAACTGATTTCCATTAGTCATTGGCTATGAGTTGCTCCTAGGAGTGTTAAGTCCCTGGTACCTGATGTCTGTGTGGACTGAGCACAGTGCCTAGGCAACGTTACAGATGCTTACAGTATAAGAAGCCATCAGCATTTACTTGACCTGTGAGAGCAAACGGGTTATGCACAGGAAACAACAGTCTCTGCTATACATCCCTTCACCCAGTGTGCATTTAGATTTTTTGTCCTAACCATTCTATGTAATTTGGAATGTTTTTTAGGATCACAAATTTAATTTGGTGGTATTTTGTATTTTTCCTTGCTTCTGATTTATCTCTAGTTTTCACAAGAGAGTACCGATGTGATTATGTTAACTGGTTCTTAAAGGAGAG